ATTTTCAATAGTTTATTGTAGGTACATGATATGTGTGCCTGAGGAACAATAGCAAAATAGCTGGGGAATATTTGCTGCCATGAAAAAAAATCACCATTCAATAGTGCTGTCTGTATTTTTAGGACAAAACAGATTGTAACCATCTCCTGAAAAGAGTAAAACAGGCACAAAATCTTTTTTTACCTGCTTTCCTTCCTCTTCATTCCTGCTCTACTGCCCTACTCCTGGGACACTGATACAGCAAATCCTGCAGCCTCTGCTGGGCTTGGTCTGGGATGACATTTACTGAGTGGAAATCTCATGGAAAACAACTTCTGAAATGGTCTCTTGCTGGAATTTCTATGCTTTTAAGATGACCTACTCGGGTCTCTTTTACAAATGCTTCCCCAGTGTCACCTGATTTCACTGTCACTGCCTCCAGAGTGACAGAAGGGATCTGTGTTTGAGAGGAAACATCTTGCACTTCCAGCTTGAATGTGACATGATCCCCCGTGATGGCTTTGATGGGATTTTCCTTTCCATCACTTAGAATTCCATCAGGAAAGTCCTTCAAGCCAGTGTTGTGCTCAGCAGGCATTTTGAGAGAGGCTGGCAATCAGGTATTCAATTCCAATCACTGTATAAAATGAAATTATCAAGAAGTTATTAAATTTTTGGTCACAAGTCTCCTAACTACTACGATGCAGCCCACGGATAACTTTGGAAAAAGGAGAATTTGGATGTTTTGCTGTTCCATTTGTCATGACCTGGGGCTCACAGACCATGTATCATCATAACTTGATCAGCACAAATGCACTGACAAGCTCAGAGGGGTTCTGCACATCCCTGGGTACAGGCAGTGTATGAGGCAGGCACAGCCATGGATTTCTGCAAGATTTGCACTTGGATTTTAAGGGAAAATACTGCTACTGAGCTGCCACCAGAAACTGGCTCCTGGAACTCACTGGTTCTGGCAGAGTTCACCCAAAATACACAGGGGTGTGCTGGGGTGGGGTGCTGCACTTCCTGCTGTCAGGGAATTTGTTTTCAGCTGGGAAAGATTTGTTTATTGTGGTGGTTTGTTGTAGAAGGGAGGGGATTGAGCCAGAAGCGATCTAGTGCAGAAGGTATTTTCCTTTTGGATGACTGCTGTGGGGTTTAATGCTTTGTTGTATCTGGATGCATTTGGAATATCTTGAGTTCATTGAGCTGCACATTTTCCAGATACTCAGCACAGAAAATTGCCTTTTCCATTTCACCCTGCTTCCTGATGGTCCCTCAGAGGATGCAAAAGCCTCTGGCTCCCAGATTTCACAAATACCTGAAGCTAAAGTCACCTGCTGAGACCGAGGGCATCTGCCAGGGGTGTGATGGTGTTCATAAGGGTCTTCTGTTGAAGGAAGAGACAAGGATCTGACTCCATATTTCAGAAGGCTTGATTTATTATTTTGTGATATATATTACATTAAAACTATACTAAAAGAATAGAAGAAAAGGTTTCATCAGAAGGCTAGATAAGAATAGAAGAGAATCAGAAAGAATGATAACAAAGGCAGCTGTCTCAGACTCTCTGTCCTAGCCAGCTGACTGTGATTGGCCATTAATTACAAACAAGCACATGAGACCAATCACAGATGCACCTGTTGCATTCCACAGCAGCAGATAATAATTGTTTACATTTTGTTCCTGAGGCCTGTCAGCTTCTCAGGGGTAAAAATCCTAAGGAAAGGATTTTTCATGAAAAGATGTCTGTGACAGCAGCCCCTGCAGATGTTTCCAAGGCTTGCAGAGGGGCAGCTGCTCTGGAGGTGACCCTCCATCCACCCTCCTCTCCCCAGGGCCTGGGCTGACTTTGGCTCTCCAGCTTTGGTATTTAAAAGCCTTTCAGATGTGTGTGTGGTCCCTATGAAAATAAATCTCCAAAGGAAACAAATGTTATGCGGTGAAAGTCTGCCAAGTCCCCATTGCTCGTTAGCTCGTAGTATTCTGTAGGAGGAACTTTATATCCCGATATAGGATAACTCTCTGATGAACTCTCAGCTCTTCTGAAGATTCAGATTTGAAGGATGTTGCTCTGTAGGGTTGAGATTGAGGCACTGACTTGATGGGATTTCAGCTGTGAGTGCCTTGACACCTTTGTCAGACCCCTGAAATAACAATTTGTCATTTCAGAGAGTTTTGGTGTTTAAGTTACATCAAGCAGAGCTGTGACAGCAGTGATCAGGGATGACAATTTCTACGCAGTCCAGAACCACAGAGGTTAAAGTAAGAAATGTAACTAAACATGTGCTTCCAAATAGACTGACATGGAGATGCTCATCCAAGACTTTCTTCTAACCCAATGATCACTTGATTTTTCTGTGTTTCTGTGGCACAGACAGACCTTGGCTGCTTATCACCCTCACTTATCTCCTGTTCAGACAATGTGCTGTGCCATTAGAGGCAATTTTTATCCAAGTCAGGAAGTTGCACAGCAAAGCAACACGGCATTGACACAGAGTGTTTGAGACTGCAGCTCCTGGTGATGTTAAAACCTGGGTTTTCTAGGTGTATGTGAAGAAGTTAGCACACAGCATCACACAGCCCCTGTCACCTGCAGTCTGTCCCTTTCCAAAGTGTCGCAGTTGCTCAGCGATGTCAACAAACATGTATTTATCTGGATTTAGCGACACAGGCAAAAGTCTAAATATTGCCTTCCTGGAGGAAAGATGATTCACCTGATTTGAAGTAGATAATTTAATGGGAAGAGCTAAATTTATCTTTCCTTTGCAGCTAGATGAAATTATTGATGGGAAGTGGAATTTTCTTTCCAATTCTCAATCACTCACGCTGCCTAAAATTGTTTAGAGTGTGATGTCTCAGAGGGTGAGTCTCTTCTGATGTAAATATGTTTTGACTGGCATTAACTCCTTAAGGCCAGGGAAGAAGTTCTGAAGAAGAAGTGAAGTCAGGAGCAGGCCCTTGCTTTCCTCAAGGAACTGCTGCTGATTTCTGGGTTGGTGTCTGTGCTCTGAGGTGATTCTGTTCTCACTTGGAGAGAAGCAAATATGGTGTGATGTCACTGGGGACATGTGAAATCAGTCTGGCTCCAGGGCTCTTCACCTCTGATGGTGCTGTGGCTTGTGAGATCCTCCTGGTCTCGTGGAGGGATTACAGGAGGTGTTCTGGAACACTAGGGGCTGCTCAGGAGGAACTCGAGGTTTTATTCAAGATGAACGTTACCATGATGTGCTGTAGAAACCTTATCCTTCAGTCAGGGACAAATTCCAGTTTTCTTGTTGGAGTAATTAGTTTAAAATTCTTTTCAAAGGAAGTGCCTGTGCTTCAAAAAGCTTCTGTCCCTGTCCTGAGCAGAGGTGTCTATGCAGATGTGCTCATCTCACAGAGGGCGTGGGCTGGGGTGCAGAAAGAAGAGCCATCTGTTAATGGTGCTTGTCATCCTTTTGTCCCCTCAGAACTTCCCATACAAGTCAAATTTGGGAGATTGACACATTATGGTACAATTCCACCTGGACCTACATCATCCTGCCTGGTTTCTTTGGTGTGGTACCTGGATCCTGAGCCATCATCCCAAAAATCTCCCTCTTTGTAAAAGCTGTGTGTGCCACTGAAGGCTGAATGAAGACTCTCCTTTCTTCTATTCTTGCTGCTGCTGTACTTGGCACATGCTGAATGATTTATATTTTTGGCAATTTTTTTAAAGCACAGGCAGATTTATATTTACAGCAGTATTGTGTTAAAGGAAAGAATTGTTAATTCTGGACAGATTAAGCTCATGGTGATGAGCAGCCAGGAATTATCTAATTCAGAAAATAGGACCAAATGGGAAGGACAAGGTTTGAAGTCCCACATACCCCTTACTGAAATATACCCTGGAGAGGACAGACCCTGTTCTTCCTCTCAAGGGCTGATTCCTGAGGGAGGAGAGCAGCTCTGTCTCCTCTGCAGTGATCTGACCACGCACACAAGGGAGCAGCCAAAAGCCCCAGCAGAGGATGTGTGGGAGCCTTTGAATAAAAGGCTGGTTTCAGGGAATAAGAAACTTTTTACAAATGTCATGTGTGAAAGTTGCTGGCAGACAGAGAGGAGCTCTCAGTGGGTTTGTGTCAGTGTTGCCTGGACTGTCATGCACAGGGCAGACAAAGCTGGAATAAATACCAACTCCTTCTGTGTAAATGTGATACTGCTGGGATGTGCCAAAATGACAACATCTGATGTTTTCACTTGAAACAGACGCAGTGTTGTTAGGAAAGGTTTCCTTCTACAGATGGGAAAACTCTCCCATTTCCAAATCCCATTCTTTTCTAATGCAAAGATGAGGCCAGCACCAGTGGGGTTAGGAGAAGGGTTAGTGGTACTGCAGCACAGGAATCTCCACCCAGAAAGCAGGTGAAAGATTTTGCTGTCAAAGTGAAAGAGCTCAGTGCAATTTTTTAACAGCTGGCTCCTCCTGTAATGGAATCAGAAAATAAACTTCTCTTACAGTGGGATATGAGCCACGCTGGATCTGCTGGGTTTGGCTTGTGCTGGATGACTCCATCCCGAAGCCCCTGGGGATTTGAATGAACTGGGATTCAGCACTCTGGCTTTGGCTTGTGTCCAATGTTAACAGAGGAAAAGTATTCAGGGACACCTCATGCAGAACCACCAAGTGAATTCTCCCTTTCTGCTTGCCAGTGTAAACCACAGATGCTGTGTAAAACCAGCACAGGAGCAGGGCTGCCCAGTTCTACTGGTCAGAGATTTTCTCATTTGCCTTCCTAATGCACAGGCGTCTTGTGCCAGCACTGTGCCACACTGTGGGATTGTGACTGTGACCCCCCTGTACTGCTAATCCTGTAGGATTGGGGCAATTATCCTGGCTTTTTTTCCTTTTTCCTCTTTTTTTTTCCCTTTTTTTTCCTGCTGAGCCAGATGATTTCTTGGTACAACTGGATTCAAGGGGAAATTTGCATCCTTCCAAACACCACCCCCAAGCGTGCCCCTCTAAACCTTTTGTTCACCGATTTGCTGACCTCTCCAGAGCTGGAATCAGCACCTCATTTTCCCCTCAAGCACAGCCTGTGAGCAGCCAGCTGATGGTGAGAGTGAGAATCACTGAGGCAAAGTTACCGTGAGGGGATGGAACAAGGCACTAGGACCTAGGAGGCGTCTCATCCACACTGGCAGGAATTTCTTGCTTGGAGCTCAGACAACAAAGGCAGAGTGAGCCTGGTTTTCTTTCTCTGAGCATCTCCACCCTGCACGCTGAAAACCGGTGAGTAGAGCTTTCCTGAGTGACTTGCATGCAGAAAAGTAACAGAAAGGAGGAATCTTTTCTTGCTGGTTTACAGCATCTGCAGCTCATTTTGAAATCAAAACCCCGGCATCCTCTGATTCCTTCCCGAAGTTGCTCGGCTGTTTCATTGTTCAGTGCATGACACCAGACTGAACCTACCCCGGCTGGCATCGTAGGGGGAACGTTCCCAACTCGGGGTTTTTGTGTGCAATGCCTGCATTGTCATCTGCCTCCCTGCAGCCTGGGGACAATGATATTTTTCTCGCATGGGTCACGCTGACATTGTGAAATACAGGGAAGGAGCTTCATTCGGGCGAGTGTAAAGGGCGGGGATGAGATAGCAACAGCTTTTCCTGGGTTTATACCTGGCTGCCGAGCGCTGTAAATCCCCTTTCAGCCCTGTGTTAACGTGAGAAATGCGTACAAGAGGTGCATGTGCCTGGTGCTGCTGGGGAGAGGAAGGGTCTCTATTGCAGCGTTGGGAGGGGGGTTCCTTCTCCTTTTGTGCTGGGGTTTGGTGCAGGGGAAAGGTTGTTCTCGAGCATAAACTAGAGACAGTGCAGAATTCCTGCTGGCTGGGTGTCAGCTCCAGCCTGGGCTTTGCAGTGCTCAGAACAATGAAAGGTGAGGAGCAGGGTTGGCGTGTCCCTGGGGCACGGGCACTTCCAGCTATTAAATCACTTAGGGCTGCGAGTGGGGTGTGGAAATAGCCCCTTTATTTTCTCTTCCTCATTAAACGGGAGCGAAAATGCAATTCAGAGGAGGCTCGGGCTGAAAAGAGCTTACCGAAGCTGCGTTTCAATGACAGATTTTTTCTTTGCAGTCATTTCTTCTTGGAGATGTAGGCTGGTCCTGGGAATTGATTGATGGGCTAGGAGGGGGCTGCGGATAGGGGGAAGGGTGGGCTGGATCTCATTGCTAACCCGTATTGAACAGGCTGTCACAAAGAAACTGCTTATTCCCCTGCGACCATTCTTTCATAAATGCCAGTTTATTCTAATGTTAAACATTCAGATGCTCTGGGTCCTTCCGTGATTCGACAGATTGAAGGGCTGACTTACTGGGATCTCCTTGTTTTCTGTTGCCAAAGGAAACCTCACAGGGCTCAGAGGTTTAATTCATTGCCAACTGGTGTTCGGATGAGTTTTTTTGGGGCTGAGTTGTGATTGCCATGTATCCCTTTGGCCCCAAGTCCCGATTTGCTGCACTTTGAAAACTCCCAGGTGCAGGAGGAGCAGGCAGCTCTCTGGAAGCGTGTTCCCTGCCCCCAGTAGCTGGATCCCTTTCAGAATGCGAGGACCCCTCCTACTCTCAGTCCCCAGAATCGATACAAATCTGGGTCAGGGGAGGGGGCTCTTCCCAAATGCATCTGTCCTGCTCCAGGCACAGCCTTAGCGTGGTTTTGCTCTCCGGATCGCGGCTCTAACCCGTCCCTTTGCCCTCCTTCTCTCCCCATCTCCTTCCTGCCCTTCAGCTTCAGATCTTTAGGGCTCACCAAACTATGGAACTTGATTTTGGACACTTTGACGAACGAGACAAGGCGTCCAGAAACATGCGAGGCACACGGATGAACGGCTTGCCCAGCCCCACTCACAGCGCTCACTGTAGCTTCTACAGAACCCGGACCTTACAGGCGCTCAGTAACGAGAAGAAAGCCAAGAAGGTTCGTTTCTATCGCAACGGGGACCGCTACTTCAAGGGGATTGTATACGCCGTGTCCTCCGACCGCTTCCGAAGTTTTGATGCCCTCCTGGCGGACCTGACCCGCTCCCTGTCCGACAACATCAACCTGCCTCAGGGCGTGCGCTACATTTACACCATCGATGGCTCCAGGAAGATCGGCAGCATGGACGAGCTGGAGGAAGGTAACGAGCATCCATCAGCATCCCTTGGTGCAGTGAGGAGGAGGAGGGAGGGATGGGGAGGGGGCTGCAGCACTCGGGGCTGCCCGCAAGGTCACCTTGCTTCGGCTCTGGGGGTGCCGAGCCCTGCTGTGCCCGCCCGGGGCTGGGGCCACCCCCGCAGGGTCCCCAGAGCCTGCAGGTGTGCAGGTGGAGGGGCGTGTCCGGCTCACGGCCGTGTCCGTGTGTCCGGCTCCTGGCTGTGTCTGTGTGTCCGGCTCGTGGCCGGAGGGGCGTGTCTGGTTGCTGGCCGTGTCCATGTGTCCGCCTTCTGGCCGTGTCCATGTATCTGGCCCCTGGCCGTGTCCGGCTGCTGGCCGTGTCCGTGTGTCCACCTCCGGGCTGTGTCCGTGTGCCTGACCCATGGCCGTATCTGTGTGTCTGGCTCCTAGCTGTGTCTATGTGTCCTGACCGTGTCCGTGTGTCCGGCTCACAGCCGTGTCCGTGTGTCTGGCTCCTGGCCGTGTCCGTGTGTCCGTGTCCGTGCCTCAGGGGCGGCCTCAGGGTGTCCCCACGTCTGTCCGGGCTGGGGTGAGCCCGGCTGGGTTTCCCACTGGGGTGGGTGGGGATGAATGGAAGGGGAAGAGGGGCTGAGGTGTTCCTGAGTGTGGGATGGGCTGGGAAGGGTTTGTGCGCTCCGTGTGGGGTCTTTGGGCATGGCACACACGGTGTGAGTGTGCACAGGGGTGTGGGAAGGGTTTGTGTGCTCTGTGTAGGCTTTTTGGGGTATGGTGCCCACAATGTGTGTGCTCAGGGGTGTGGGATGGGCTGGGAAGGGTTTGTGCGCTCTATATCGGGGTTTTTGGGGTATGGTGCCCACAATGTGTGTGCTCAGGGGTGTGGGATGGGCTGGGCAGGCAGCTGGGGGTGTGGAGAGGGGTGCTGGGGTGCGAGGGATGTTGGGAGGGTGCGGGGGTCTCTGTTTGGGGAGCTATGCAGGGATGTGTTGGGAGTTCACACAGCCTGATCAGGGAGGGGATTTAATGAGCGAGGCTCGTGAATAGAGAAGGGCGGTTTGGGCAGGTTGCGCTTGGTGAATTTTGGGGTTTATGCGTGCGGCTGTGAGGAGGGTGAATTACGGGGAGCTATGGGGGTTTCTTTGCGCTGGGGTTCGTGCTCAGGGGGTGTGGAGGTGTGCGGGGCTGCCTCTAAGGGCGTCTGGGGAGTCTGTAAGGGGGTCTGGGGGACGATGTGCACGGAGGGCGCGGGGAGTTCATGCGCTGCAGGGCTGTGAGGAAGGGAGCGCCTCGCTGCCTTTGGGGAGCGGTCGCTGCGCTGGCTCTGGAGCATCCTGGGGGTGCTCGGGGCAGGGCCGAGGTGTCCCCGTGTCCCCAGGGACTGTGGCTGCTGCTCTGCGGGGTGAGGGATGAGCCTAAATCGATGCTGCTCGGAAGGAAGGATGCCCTGGGGAAGGTTTGCTCAGCTGCCAGCCCTGGGTGCTGCCCTGCTCGCCGATTTCCCGGCAGGTCAGCACAGCCCTGGGATGGCATTGCAGGGATGGATGGGCAGTGCATCCTGCCCGAGGGCAGCTCTGCCAGAGCACAGTGGGATGGACAGAGGGCACCACAGCCACGCTGCTTTTCTCCTCCCCGAGCAATCCATTCATTCTTTGTTCGGACCTGGAATATCCTGTTGCAGGAGGGGAGGTGCTCTTCCCTTTTCCTTGGTGTTTTTCTCCCAAGCAGACATCCCTGGCCAGTTTGGTGACTACCAAAAAACCCACGAGGCTTTTGCCTTTAGCGAAAGACAATGGAAGTGAGGCACGAACTGCAGGGGCAGCCTCGCTGCGAGTCATTGTGTGACCTTGACTAAAGCAGCTCTCCCTCTCATTCCTTCCCTGTCAGGCAGGATACTCATCTCCCAAAAATACTTCTCAGGGACAAGGACGTGGAATAAATCTTGGTTTCCATAGAGGAGAGTTTTCCTGGGAAGAAATCGCTGCCTTTCAGAGCTGCGATGCTTCCTGGTGGAGTTATTCTCAGCCCATTTACAGCTGTCGAATGGAGGTGTGGCCTCTCTTAATTTTAGAGATTCTGCCATGTTTCATTCTGGTCTCTTAATATGGCCACGACCTTTCTCTAATGGCAGCTCTCAGTCCTGCTTGTCCTAGGTTTTATGCAAATCTTTAGAAATAACTCCAGGAGAAAATGCAGTTCTTTATTCTCTTTTTACCCTCTTCCTCCTCTTATACTCTGCCTGCTTTTTGTCACTTAAGAAAGGTTTAGTTGTTACACCTCCTTTAAATGGGTTTTGCTGCAGGTAAGGAGGTACCTCCTTTGTAAAAATACATTTTTTCTGGTTGAGGTACAGACAGGAGATGCTGGCATTTGGGTTCTGGCTTTGTTCTGCCAAAATGGCATCTGGAAACAGCACTGAAGAAGAGGCACTAAACCAAAATGGGATTGTCTGTATGGCTGTGTCCTCAGCAGAGCATCATCTGGGAAAATAAAACCTGAGCAGAGTGAAGACAAAGGAATCCATTTTTGACCATGCCAGAGTAGGTCTGCACGCTGTTATTGATCCCATATTTCTAGGGGTGACCTACACTGCTGTTGCAGAAAAGCAATTTACAACACTGTGGGTATAACCAGCCCTTGTGGTGAATTCTGCCCTCAGCTTGGGTGTTTGCATAGCTGTGTACAAAATACCTGTGTGCCAAAATACCAAATACCTGCATGAAACCCAGAATTTGGGAGTAATTCTGCTGTGACACACAAGAACAGTGCACACACAGCCAGGGCATGTCTGCTTTATAAATTGGCTATCTGTTTGGAGACTGAGGGTAACCAAACCAGTGCTTGTTGCTATAATGGGGCTAATTTATCATTGTAATTTCCAATAAACAAGTAGAATCTAGGAAAAGTCATCAAAGAGGCTTATCTCAGTGGTTTGATGGAAAAAAACTTGTGAATTACTGACAATATTTCACATCATGTTCACCTGATTACTTCTGATTGAAAAATGTACTTACATAGTGTAGCCTGGGTGTACTTCTGGAGGGTAGAGAATGATATTGCACAGCACCAATATCTAGAGACAGAGATTTCAGGTGAACAAAAACCGCGTGGTGTGCTGCTAATTAACTGGGGCTTGGAATCACCCTTTGTTCTCCAGACCCAGAGTTCTTCCCTGGCACTCAAGGTTACTCCCATAATGAGAACAAGTGAAGTTTTTCACACTCTTTTTTCCACACTTTTTTTGCACATTCCTTCCATCTGTTGGGCTGAGCCTCTTGGTCCTTTCCTGTGCTGCACCCTAACATCTCACATTTTGGAAGCTCTCAGAGCTCTGTCACACAGGTGCCTTTTTCTGTCACCTGAGTTCTCCCTCACTGGTCACAGGTTGCTTTTTCCATTCTTTTCCAGGGAGCTGTCTCATCTCCCAGTGACCTTCTCTCAAAATCCTCTCACCTGATAATTTTTTCTTCCCCTTTTCAGTCCTAGCAGCAATCTTCCATCACTGCAGGCATTGTCTCAATCCTGACTTCTTATTTTCAGCATTCAGTTGTAATATAAATAAATAATAAGCTATAATAATAATTATTATTAATAATATATAAATAAGCTTTAATATAAATAAATAATGCACCTGCTGATGTTGCTTGGGGCTGCATTCCTCCTTAACCTCTGTGCTTGTCAAGTGCAGGGCAAATCCTGTTCCAGCTCATCCTTCCACTCATGTCCCACTGCCTTGGCTGGATCAGGAGTGGATGTTGGCCCAAGGTGCTGCCATTTATGGTGACAGATGAATATTTTGGAAAAGAGCACCATGTGGGCTTTATTCCCCTTCATATGGAAGTGGTTCCAGTGGCCAGGGCTTTGGGAAGTTGATTTATAGATCTGCATTTACTGGTGAGTCACTTGTAACTGATAATTCTGTGCCTTGTGCTGTGATCAGACTTGCATATGAAAGATGCTAAAATAATCATGTGCCATCCTTTGCAGCCTTTCTCATGATGATCATAGAGCAATTCACATTTTTCATGCAAGTTTCAGCTGAAATTTAGCTCCTTTGGTATTTGGATGTGGTGGTTTTGTTCATTTTGAGCCTCTTCTGGAAGATTTCATGTGATGAGAAGTTGCCCCACCTCAGCTCTGATTATTTTTTGTCCTTGAATGGAGGGCTGGGTAGAGGTGGAAGCTGAGGTTGTGCATTGACTTCAGCAGCAAAGGTGGCTTAGGAAATGCTGCTCTTGGCCACTTCTTCCAGTTCCCATTGTCCCATAAATGAGTTCTTTGTGGGACATAAGGGATTTTTTTAGCTGTCTTCATAATTTTGCTGCTTTCCCATATTCAACTTCCTGGCATAATGGACAGTGAGGCACAACCTGGGAGGGAAGGCAAGGCACATCCCAAGGTGGATTTTGTGCCTTGTCTTGGGCTGCTTGTTTGAAATTTGCCTTTGTTTCAAATAAAACTCCAGAAAAAGCTGAGTAGGATTTGTTTTGCTCAATGTGGTTTTATTGCAAATGATCTTGGGCTGTGTGAGATATTCCACAAAGTGATTCCAAGCTTTTTGTATCCTGTCATGCCCTTGGGAATATTTTCCATAATCTTGTCCAGGAGCATTTAAAGTAATCATAGGAGGGGCTCCACCCTGGAACTGAGGAGTCTGGTGTGTGCTGGGACTGAGGGGTTTATGGGAAACATCCTGGAACCTCCACCCAATGTGTGTGTTCCAGTTTGCCTGGAAAAGTGAAGTTCCTGCAGTTTCATACTGAAACCTTGGTAACCTGTGGAATTGTTTTCTGTGGGTGTCTGCTGGCCTGATAATTGGCTGACTCAGCTAATTACATCCTACAGAACAAAATTTCTCCATGGGGCTCTGTTTTATTTGCTTGCTTACCCCAGCTAGGTGCAGCCAGGACTGGTGTGGGCCCAAAATTCTTTAGGGGCGTCTTGTGGTTCTGAAGGTGATTTCTAATCAAGCATTTCTTCCACTTCTCCAGCAGAACAAGAGGTTCTTCTGTTCATGGAGAAGCCAAGGGAAGGGAGCTCTTCCAGGGCTCATTTTGCCATGCTGGAGGAGGCCTTTCTAACTGGAGTAGGCCTTTCTAACTGTAGTAGGCCTTTCTAACTGGAGTAGATCTTTCTAACTGGAGTAGGCCTTTCTAAATGGAGTAGGTCTTTCTGACTGGAGTAGATCTTTCTAACTGGAGTAGATCTTTTTAACTCATGAAGCAGCAGCAAGTTCATGCATTTGAAACTCAAGGCCTCCTCCAACACCACATGGAATGAACTCTGCAAGGTGTTAAGTCCACTTAATTCCTGCTGCAGCCCTGGTAAATTCCATGAAACACAAAAGCTGGGCACAGTAGCACATTCTCAACTTTGCAACTGCAGATCTAACAGCCAGAATAATTGACTGCTGCCCACAGAGACTGTTCCTGGAATAACTGTTAACACTTAGGCATTCAAAATGGCCTCAATCCAGCTTTCCTGATTTTTCTCAAAAGACTTCTGCCCACAGTTCATTATCCTTGGAAAGTTGCTGGTGCATGCTGAGGAAGGATAACTTTTCCTGAAAGCACAGCCTGTCATTTTTAGTATTGTCACAGGGAGCTGATCTAAGAGGGTTGGAGGATTAGCACTCATCTAGAGCTCAGGGTTTTTCTAAGAAACCTTCTCCAAGGCAAACCTTATCTTTGCTGAGATCATTCCTTCTTTAGGAGCTGAATAATCTCCTTGTGCTTCCATCAAATTGGTACCACTGGGATGTGTCATGCACTTGGAGTAGTTCTGTGTGATGCAAGCCTGCCTTCAAATGGCAAATATGATGGTCATGACAGCATCTCTGAGGTCTGCAGCCAGCCCAGCCATTGCTGAGGGCAGGCAGGAGCACTGAGGAAATGCCTTGGCTGCTTTGGTGGCACCGTAGGAATTGTGACACGTATGGAGCACCCTGGCATGGTGACAATGCTCATCCCCCTGTGGGCTCTGGCTCTGCAGTGTAAAAAGGACTTCATGCTCTGAGCTGGCCCTGCACAGAACCAACACTGTCCTTGGCACCAGGGATTTTGTCAGGGTGATGCTCCCCAGCCCCAGTGCATGAATGTGTCTCTTTGGGACTCCCTTTTTGGGGTTGGTTTGGAATTAATCACCTGGCTGTCCATTGTACCTTCTCATGGCTTGCAGTGGGATTTCTGCACAGCTGCTAGCTGGCTTAAGACATGCTCCTGAAAATATTTGTGCACAGATTTTTGTGCTTAGGGCTGGGGAGCAATGTTCTTCTTGGAGCTGTTTCTTTTGCTCGTGACAAGATCTCACATCCCCTTCCCATCCCTTCTGTTATGCTGAGCACATCTTCTGCTCTCATGCTGTGTCTGTCAGTCACATTTCTGTGCCTGGCACAGTTGTACACCTTGACTTCTCATTACAGGCTTAGCTCAGACAGATGTGGCACAGAAACCTACAGAGAGCCCACTCCTCCCTCCATTCCCTTTAAGATTTCTCTTCTTTATTATCTCCTGGCCACATTGTGCAGTTCAAAGCTGCAAAGTTCACAGGTCTCCAGCCCATGCTTGCTCAATCCTGCTTTCACCATGGTAAGATTTGTGTAAAATTCCACTGTGGGATGTGAAATATAGTGTGGGAAGTGTGTTCCTGGCTGGAAAATGCGTGTGCTTCACTGAGGGACTTGAATGATGATTTTGCTGCTGTTTGGGGGTCATAAACTGAGTTAGAGAAGACATTAGTTGAAGTGGTTTTTAAATGAAGTTAAAGCTTCAGGTCACATCCTTAGGTCAGGGAGGAAGGGAAGAAAAGCTCCTCTTCCCTGGAGCTGTGCTGCTGTGACTGCAGAGATGATGCTCAGAAGAGCTGCTGCTCTGAACTGCTCCTCTGGAGTGTCTCTCCAAGGAAATTTCTCCAGTTTTAGAATGGAGTACAGCACGGATTTTATTTGCTGGAGTTTGGGTTCAATGAGACAAAGGGAGAAAAGGCAGATTCCATTTTGCACTTGTGAGTGTGGGCATAGCTGGAGAGGCTGTGTGTGGATCTGCACAGCTGCCCGGGATCACATCTGGGGAGCAAACCCTACAAGAGCTCTGCCTTCATGCCACTGTTCCCTTTGGTGTACAGTGGTGTAAATCCACAAATGGCAAATATGTGTTTTACAATTATACACCAATAGGTGTTTTACAGCTGTGAGCAGCTCAAAAGGACTCAGCTGGAACTAAGAGTAATGGTACTGTACCAGACACATCAAGAATCTCTTCTGCTTATTTTAAAATACCCAACTTATTTGTAAAAATATGCTCCAGAACCTCAGGTATCTACAGAATACAGTGCAAATGTGCACTTTCTTTCACTGTGAAAGTAATACAGATGAAGGTCAAATGCAGATGAAAGCCAAGCCTTGCCACACTCCAGTGGTTGATGGTTTACTTCTGTTTTTCAGATGGGGAAGCAGAGGTGAATGTGAGGTCAGGAGCTGGCACAGGGAAGCTGGGGTGACAGCAGCACTCAAATCACTAATTCTTAGTGCTGCATTTAAACAGAGAAATCCCTTTTCTCAGAGGATAATGCACAGTTCTGCTGAGCACACTTAGGAGGGCTCTGCTGCCCGGGGATTATGGGCTTGGCAGGGCTCATGTTCTTAGGATGGTTAATTCCTGGGAGCATTCCAGACTCTTTGCTGCCCTTCTCCCAGTCGTGAAACTGGAGAGAAGCCTGGGCCTGCTCTGCACCAGGTGTTCCTTGGCTGAAGCAGATGAATAAACCACAACTTATCACTTATTAATCAGAGAGATCTGAAGTATTCAAAGCTTCTGGAAAAGGATATCCCCAGAGGGAGTTTTGTATAATGCGTGGTACTCTGGAGGGTATATTTGAGTTTTTATTGAGTCAGATTCACAAAATGTTGGGGATTAAGGAGCTCCAGCTATGGGCAGGGCTGCAGGGTTGGTTTATTGAGGGGTGTTGCTGTCAGCAAATAGAGATTTTTACTGTTTGTTCAGGCCAACAGAACCTGCTGGTGGGATTATTGTTGGTTTGGGGTATACCCAGACAAAAAATGCTCAACTGAGTGTTCATCACAAACCTTGTCAGCTCTCTTCTGTATTTGTATTCCATCTTTAAAAGGGGAAATGGAATATCTGCTTCCTGTTGATCAAGGATTTTGGTCATTTTTATACATATGGAGAAGAGCTGCAGTTGGTGATGCAAACACCACAAGTGGGCATCACGGTGGCAAAGTGGGTACAAAGGTGGGGTTGAAATAAGTGAGAATCCTGCATCTTTTCTATGACTGCTTGGGGCATCACACCTGGTCAATAATAGGGACAGAAATACACATAGTGCTGTCATAAGCCTGTTCAAATCTGGTTTTTGTGTATCTGTTGTGGTCTCACCATGGGTTCTAGTGCCTCCATCAGAAGTGCAGTTTAGTCAGCTGAAGGAGCTCCAATATGAACTTTATCCTGGGCTTGTTACCTGCCTGGGCCATGTGAAAATCAGTGGGATGTTTGGAAATCCCTATTTTGCCAACTGGATGTCAAATCCTGTCCTAGAGATCCCTGGGTCGGAAGCCAGACTTGGCTGTAGGATAGGCTTTTCAAAGATGAGCCTTGGAGTTTGCAGTCAGGGACAGACAAGGAAATGCAGCCAATCTGTTTTTGGTAAAGAAGGAGATTCTTTTTTTAAAAAATTGTCTTTCAAAATAGTTAAATCTGTATTTTGATTTCAAACATATTGTAGTACATGAAAAACTTAATTCTGTAAGATCAGACAAAGATACACTTAATTCTGTAAGATCAGACAAAGAAAACACCAGAAGAGACTCTAAAATCCTACAGGTCGTACCTTCAGTTCCTATTAAAACTTTATCTAATGGCGAGATGAAAGCTTCTTCCTCCAGCAGTGAGTGACTTTTTTTCAGTGCAGCCTGAGTCATTTCAGACCAGACAGCTACATTCCCTTAGGGATACTGGTTTACAGTCTCATTCTAGTAATAACTCTTGCAGCATCCATCAGATTTGCAGGCCCAAAAGAAGCTCCTACAAATCCTTTAAGGTGCTTTTAAAACCTTGGATAGATAGGATCCTGTAAATTACAGACAAAGCCTGAAACTAATTTTGGGTGGGATAGGGAAGGGCTTTTTGGGAATTACTAAAAAGACCCTGTAACTCTTCTCTGCCATGTCTAAATTCAGATTTAATGTATTTTTGGTTGGTATCAGCCATGTAAATCAAGAAGTGGTATTTGGTGCAATGTTTAATCTCAGCTGCCACTAGGTCTGTTCCCTAATAAACCACTGATGCTCCAATAGTGCATATTTGTTATGCCTGCTAGATTTATCAAGGCTGCTTTTAGTGGAGACTGTTCAGGACAAGATTTTGATTATTCTTCAGGCATGATGCAGAAGGCACTTTGTGGATGAATGTTGATGTCCTCTTGGCAGGGAATGACACACTGAAGTAGCATCTAGGTCTGTAAAGATAAAGGGAAAACTGGCAAATTTATAAAATAATCAAGGTGATCAAATTAATTTGGTGTTTTGAAGCTCTTGGAAGGCTTAGATGCATCTTCAAGTACCTAAATACCTTTATAACTCAACCTCTCTCAACCCCTGGTTCACGTGATTTTATGTATTTGCTGATGGCTGACAAGCTTATTTTGTGGAAATACCAGCAATATTTAAAATAACCATAAATATAGCATTAAAACAAGGCAGAATGTTTTAAGAACAAGCTGTCGTGGGAGTGCTAATGGGAACAATTATCAATGATGTGCATGATTTATGGGGGAAGAGCACAGAGCTGACGCTTACTGCAGAATCTCGTTTCTCCCTCAAGGCGAGAGTTATGTCTGCTCGTCCGACAACTTCTTCAAGAAGGTGGAGTACACCAAGAACGTCAACCCCAACTGGTCTGTCAACGTGAAGACCTCTGCCAACCAGAAAGCACCTCAGTCCCTGGCCAGCAGCAACAGTGCCCAGGCCAAGGAGAACAAGGATTTCGTGCGCCCCAAGCTGGTGACCATCATCCGCAGCGGGGTCAAGCCGCGCAAGGCCGTGCGTGTGCTCCTCAACAAGAAGACAGCCCACTCCTTCGAGCAGGTCCTCACTGACATCACTGAAGCTATCAAGCTGGAGACAGGGGTGGTCAAAAAGCTCTACACCTTGGATGGGAAGCAGGTAGGAGGTTTTTACAGATGTTACGTCTTTTTGTTCTTCTTGTCGTGCGGCTTTGCTGACTCAGAGCAATTCTTGAAGGCTAAAATTAAGCTGAGATGATTGCTGCCATCTGTTGCCTTAGAAGTATGGCTTCTCATGCCAGTGGTTAGGTTACTAAATTTTCCCTGATATTAATACCAAGTAAAGAATGTAGCCGTGGGTCTGGGTGGAGCAGATGCTCGCCCTGCACGCCGGCGTGCGGTGCGTGTCCTCTGGGCCAGCTAAATAAATAACAGGGGGGCTTGGGCTCACAGCCTCCAGCTGCTCTGGCTCTGGACTCACTGGACGAGCTCTCCAGCTTTGGCTCCACTCAGAGAAAACGTGTTGCTTGACTTTCCTTGCCCTCTGGTGAAGGCTTGCTAAGACAAAGCGATTGATCCAAGCATGCTCTTCTGGCCAGCTCCAGAGTGAGCAGGAAAAGTGTGGAACTGGGGAGCATTTCCTTGACTAAGTGCACGAGGAGGTAACGTGCAGAAAGAGTCAGAAATATTTAGCAGGTCATCAAAATGTGCTTCATGTCTACATGTTGCTGGAACTGAAGGAAACATCTGTCTCTTGTTAGCAGCTACACAGCAACGAGCCATTTCGTATTGCTGTATCTATGAAAAGCCTTAAAGGAATGTGAGGGATCATTTTTAGAGCTGGGAAGAGTTAGATTCTTCAAGGACGATTCTGAGCTTGATTTAACATTTCTGTTTATTGTAATTGAGGAATGATCTTATTTTTGTCGCTATTTTTCCTGGTCCAGATTCTGGAGCCAGGCAGCACATCTCTTGTGTGGGTTTGGATGCTGGCTATTCTAGGGATTGATGGGTTTGCATGAAATTAATTCTGTCCTGTCTCTGGAGAAAATTATTCAAGAAAATTATTCAAGTACTCTGCCCAAGGAAATGCAGATTTTACAAATAAAAATGTTCATCCCAAATGCAGGTTCCTAAATGTCTTGCACAGTCCAGGAGTGCAGTGTAGTTCCTGGGAGAGCAGCATGTCACTCTGACCTGATAGTCTGGTGTCCCTGCCCATGGCAGGGGGCTGGAACTAAATGATCTTTAAGGTCCCTTCCAACCCAAACCATTCTGTGATTCTTGCTTTGTCCCATCCTGTATCCTGCACATTAGTTACTGTCTGGTTCCAGCTTCAGATGCACAAAAAATCCCATCTGTCTGCCAAAGCTTTCCCTTTTCCTTCCTCAGATGCACAGTTTGAACATGAGAGGGTGCCTGTCCACAGACACAAAAACCTGCTGGAAATGAGCAGTGATACCAGGACAGGTGCACTGGAAACCTTGGAAGAGACCAGGGAAAGAGGAAGGAGGTTCTCAACTGACCTGTGCTCCCTGAGGTGATCACACCTGGGCACAGGCCATGCCCTTGGGGTCACAGCAGCTCTGTAGAGGCTGCCATGGCTGGATCTAGCCTGAGAGCAGATCCCTGCTCCTGCTATTCTCCCAGCTGGGAAGGGGGATCTTAATCTGAACCTGTGAGTGGCCTCAGTTCTTTGAGAGCTGCTGGCATCTTGGGGCTGAGATGTTGCTTTGGAAGGTGCAGAAATAGGGATGCTCCCGCCCTCTTCTCCCCCTTTTAGCTGTTTGCAGGGGCAAGTGGTGATTCCCTTCCACCTCTGGCTGTAGAGCAAGACAGGATCAGCCCTGATATGACATTTAACTTGTTTCTCTGGCTTTATAATTCACCATTTTATGAAATCAGATATTTGCATGTTGGAGATGTTGCTGGGAGATTGTGTGTGCAAATGTACACCCAGTAATGCAGTTATTGTAAACAGTGGGACTGTGATTTGGAAATAATGGGATGTTTGGTATTTGTTTGCAGCACCATTTGCTGTTGAAGCTTCCTAAGGAGCAAACCTGGTTCAGCAAGGCTTTGTTTTTTAGTGGAAGGTTTCCTTCAATGCTTGTTCTTTATTACAGATGTGTGTTCTTAGTGTGGAAGTCTGAGCTAGAAGGTTATGCTGGCTCTTAGGGTTTCCATGACATACTGCTCCATAAAATCTGACCTCCTGACATGACATTAGGGGGTTTTGCATGTCTGATGCTGACATTAGAAAGAGATTACTGCATGCGTGGTTCTGACAAACAGCGCTTTATTTTCGGGAGGAAATATTCATGCAAAAATGCAAGCTGCTCAAAGCTGAAATACTGACAAGAATCCTGACAGTCTGTCTCTTTGAGTGCCATCAGAGGCACGTTGCTCCCTCTGTTGTGAAATGATAAAATTTACAAAAGGAATGTACAAAGGGAAATCATCCTGCCTCAGTCCACGAGCTGGAACTTAATGAGGGGAGATGATTATTTTATTTATAGGCATTTCCATAGTGCTCATCAGTGCAGTAATCAAGATGCTTTAGAAGTACAGACAGTGGTGGCAGTGACAGGGTGGTGTGAATAATTACATTTCTGTGCATTACAGACCTGCTGCAGTTGGAGTGCCAAAGCAGCTAATTGAGAGCTGGTGGGATGTGTTTGAATAAATGCAGCACTCAGAACAACAGTGGGGTTAGGTTATTTTAATGAAATTGTGTCTTTTTATGTCTTGGGTTGGCTGGAGAAATATGGCCCTTGAAGCTGCTAAATTAGCATCTTGTGTTTAAGTAGTTTATTTAACTTGCACATATTTCTGATGTCTGTACTCAGGGTCCTTCCCTCCCTGGAGCAAAGCATTACCTCTGGATGCACACCCCTGAGCTCAAAAGGTTTTTCAAATAGTTGACCAAAAATAAGTGTGACAGGGGATCACAACAGAGATTTAACATTGGAACTTCCATGGCTGTGCAGGAAATGGAGTGGGTAAGGGAATTCAGTGCATTAAGCAGGTGCTGTAATGGGCCAAATTCAGTACTTGGTTCTGTGACTACAACTGCTCTGGTGTTGAGATATAAATATAGACAATTAAAATACACACATCCAGGATTTAATTTGGTCATGCCTGTGGATCATGCTGGAAAACAGCTATTTTGGTAGATTCTTCCTCCTTTTTTAAGCTCCTAGTTCTACCCAATGTCCCAAATAAGTCTGGGTTCCTGGGAGCCCTGGCTGCTTCACAGACACACGATGACAGCTCCTGCCCCGCGTCGTTAACAAGCCAAATTAGAAAGCAGAATTTGAGACCCTGGATGGAGTTGCATTGGGATGTTTTGAATGCAGTAGGCTGAGCTAGACCTTGCAGAGGTTGTGTGGATTTCCTGTCCTGCTCATGCTTGAGCTCCCTCCTCACCATGGTGCGCAATGGGTCGGTGTTCACAGGAGGCTGCTGCACCCCTGTCAGCCCCTTGCTGCTGTCAGCACCAGGTCACTGGCTGAGTTTGGTGATACTCTGAAATTCATCAGGCATCAGTCTGAAATTCATCAGTCCAGCTGTACTTTATGTACAAGAGATACTTTATGTACTTTTGTACTTTATTTACAAAATATACTCTTGTGGTGTGGAATTTCCTCTTTTTCTCCAGCTGTTTTATTGCCATGCCTTAATTAACTAAACACCCCATTGTGTGACCCAACAATTATCATCACCAAAAGATAAGCAGAATAGGGGCTGTTCAGAGCAGGGAGAGCTAGTGTACTTCAGCTGCACATAAATAGAGATATTCTGGTCAACAAGCAGGGAGCAGATTGTGGGTTTAGCCATGATAACATCAGTGATCTCCTCTGGCCTTTGAAATCTTCAAACATGGGGAGAAGTCTCCCATGCTCTGCTCGTTGGCTGTTGCCTTGCCCAGACACAGTGCTGCTGCTCCAGCTGAGTGTTAGCTGTCTCATCAGATGAAATTACATCCATTTCCATATGTCAGGGCACTTGTGACTGCACTCCCAATAGAATTTCCAGTCTTAATAAAGTGGTCCCCTCTAGCAGCCTGAGCTTTGATAAGGATATCAAGTGGCAGGTGATGAGGGGAGTCCATCCTGGGTTTGCAAAGCTGATGCCAGTGCCCTGGGGGCCAGCCCACCTCTCCTGGCCAAGCAAAAGTTGCCATTTCATTTTAGATTTCCTGCACTGAGGAAGGGCAGCAGCCACAGAGGGGTAAGCAGGATGACAAAGCTTACAGCAAGTTTAAGGTTGGGACTGTGATCAAATTCAATAAATGAGTTGATAATAAAGCATCTCCTATTAGCTGATAATAGGAGATGTTGATTAGTTGATAAGTTGATTAGCATCTGCTAAATTAGTTGATAATAAAGCATCTCACTGCACTAAGGCATCCCTACAAGTTGCACTGGAGAAACCAAACTTTGGACTTGCTGCCCTGATTTTAAGCTGGTATTTGGAAAAAAAAAACAGTAAAAAATTAATCAATCAAGTGTTGATAACAGCAGTGGACCAAACTCTTCCAGGATAATGTAGATGTATTGATTGTATTAATGAAATTGTATCTATGAGACATGGAATGAGGTTTGTGCTGAAATAGAAAAATGCCTCCGAGAGCTGTAATCTGTAATTGGTGCTGAGGAAGGAGGTGACACCTGTGTGGCTGTGCCCATAACATCTGCACTGCTGGAAGATCAGAGGGAGCCTGTTCCCTCCAGAGCCCTGGCAGGAGTTAACTCACACCCTGAGGCACCAGGTTCAGGGCTACAAAGTGAGCAAATTGCTTTGTGCTATTGCACATGTTGTGGTGAAGGATGTCAGAACAACTCCTCCCTCTGGGTTCTTGGCTGCCTTTTAGGATGCTGAGGAGCTGCCTTGGAGTGACCCCAGAATACTCAGTTTATGCACTGGTGTTGTCCTGTTTTTTAAATTTTTTTTAAACTTTCTGATGTTTACATTCTTGTAACGAACTTTCTCACACACTCTATGTAAATAACTTATTGTTTTGCATTCTTTTATAGAAGAGGAGAAATTTGATAGACTGTTAGTTTGTCCAGTGTCATTGGAGAGGTGGCACTGTCACCTTCCAATCCCCTGTCATTTTTATACATCTATAAATGCTGGAGTCAGAGATTGAACACC